GTACGCATACATACGTACATATATGTGTCGTGCACTAGCAGGTTGACTACGAAGCTAGAAGTGTGACGCAATCAGTTTGGCGAACGTGCCGCAACGGGCGCTTTCGTAGCAGCTCACGCTCGCATGCATACACAAATAGAGATTCATAGACAACGTCTGCAAACGTAGAGCAAAGGAAGAAGATCACATTTTGTGGGCTTTAGGCTTGACCCCGACCCGCGATATCTCTGTGGTCTCGTTCCGTCATTGGGCTAACGTTCGATTACGCCCAACCATCGTTGTTAACAGTGAAGGCAATGTCGTTACCGCTGCTGCCATCATTGCAATCGCTGTCGCCATTATCATCACCGCTGTTATCATGTTCCTCAGGCGTCCGCCTGTCACCTGTCCCCTTTTTCATAGCGGCATAATGGCGTAGCTCTGTCATAGCAGATGTCACCAGCAGGGACTTTCGACTCTGCCGAGATAGCATCGGCAGGGTTGCCGCCAGTAACGGCTCAGAGAACTCGGAAGCCCGACTCATCTTGTTAATAGCGGTAATGACGATAGCTTTGTACATCTTTGCTAGTCCTGCGTGAAAGCAGTAATGTTGTTGCGGAGGTCTACGATAGCTTAGCGTTGAGTAGCAATGCCGACTATTTTGTGGTAAGCAACTGTTCGCGACGGGCCTACTGATGCCGTCGGCGTCACCGTCTTAACTGTTTATCATCAAAATAGATTTTTGCAAAGCAGAGACGACTTTGCGCAGGGGCAGACTTTTCTGTGGCCGGTAGTCACCCAATGCACCGTGCGCGGGAAACTGGCTGCTCATTGGGAGGAAAGCAAACGTCAAACACGAAGAAAAAGAGGCATCTTTTGTTCAATCTGGATACGGAGATTGTGTTATTATTTTGTTATTATCCGCTATTATCTGCAGGAATTGGCTATTTTGACTAATCAACATACCCTCTTTAGTGCGAACTGCGATGGTTTCGCTGGGCATCGCATTAATAACCACTACACGTCACTTATATCTATAACTTCATGATGGAAACACAGTCATTTCTCTTACTGCGAAGAACGGCAAGCGCAGGTCACTGGACACAATCGTTACGTGCAGGTACTTTCATACAGAGGTTTTAGGTAGCGTCATTAACACTCGGAAAACACAGACTGGACTGTTGAGCGAACAGAAACATTGTTAGTTAGAGTAGCAATAAGTAGTGGCATACGGATCCATAGTCGAGCGTTTGTATTTTGACCCGCGTTAAATGAGAGTCATACCTAAACACCAGACGATGCCACATATTTGTCTACTATCAATACTAGTATTGAGTGCGAATCATGAAAATAGAAACGTATCGTAAAGTGTGTAGACTGTTTTCCTTCGGGACATGCAGACATGAAGCCAGGGTAAAACATAGCCGGATGAAAGCTCAACCTTGAGATTAAAAAAACACTGCAACAGGAGGTAGGAAATTGAAAGATCTGTTTATTGGTCTTTTGGAGGTGCGATCATGAATAGAGCTTCATATCGCTTTCTGATGGCCATGCCTAAAGTTGTGATTGACGGACCGGATACCGCTGTTAAGAAGGTAAGGTAAATTATTCGTTTCTGTGATTCTGAACATTGAAATAAAGGGTCGAGGGAGCAACTTTGCTATGACCGGGCTCACGAGCTGGTCATTGGATTAACAATTACAAGAGGTATGCTTTTTGCTAACTGAAGAGTAAATTGATCCCGACAATGCATTATATGAAAAGTACAGGTCTATATTTTTATAATTGTGTTGTCTAAAAAATCGAGGGATGGGTTTACAGACGTAATATACGTGAAGCAATTGAAGTGTTCTTGTCTTTGACCTTGACGTTATTCCTAGATCGCTTTAGGACAACATGGTTATGATAAACATGTTGGAACAATACATGTAATGCTTAAAGTGACCACAGCAACTCCGTTAAGTAAAGAAACATAATAAATTGATTTTTAATGGAAATACATATGTATTTTTTTAATAAAACTCTAAAGATACTGAAAATAGATTATATATATTGCTTAACTGTAATATTGCTTATCGGTACCACGAAGTACCACGCATAGTAGACCGTGACGAGAGAATGCCATTGAATCATCCTCCCATCGAAGTCTGTAGTCCAGCTAATGGTCCCAGGTTTCAGGTACCACCAATAAAGTAGTGGTCCAAAAATGAATAGGGATAACTCTAATTCAAAAGTCATTCTAGTTAGGCATATTTTAGCAACCTAGCTGTTCGTATAGATGCGGCCCTTTCAGCAGTCTCTTTCACTCGTCAGAATCGCAATATAATGTCAGCTACCCTATATGTACATGCCTCTAAGGTTTCTCTTTGTTTCCGTTTGCGCCAATATGACAAATTAGTGACTCACTCGACCGTTCGGTTACTTTTAGGTGGCATTGACGTACATGTGTGTTCTAAGCTTTTTACTGCTACGGCTGCAAACAACTGACCGAAACAGAAAGCGCTGTTATTGCCATTAAACTATCCTTTGACCGTTGAGATTACAGGAAATCTTACGTTATATTTCGATAACAATCTTATTAAGTATACTAAATAAAATTAAACGATCGACCAACAGTATATTGAGAATTGCAGTCATATTTTCTGTCAAAAGTGATCTCGAATACTTGATAATGGCTAACTTTCCAACCTGCTAAGGCATTCAAGTAAATGGTGACAGTTATCGGTTAGGGCGTTGAACTTATGTTTTAAAATACCGGTGGGCCTTTGCAACAGACGTTTTAATATACGTTCCCTTTTTTAACGCTTCTAGTTCGCTTTTGGTTACTAGATAAACAAATCCTTTGAATCTCTTCTTCGGTACTATCAAAAATTTGCCTCCACCAGAAAATGTAGTTAGGATCGGCTCCTCTAGACCCATGTGGGGTTTCTCCAGAAGCCCTAGAAACCGGTATAGTAAGCATATACCATGGTAACTATTTGCCAACGCTGACATTTATAAATAACAACTATTGTCTTCTTATGGTTACTATACCAACGCACTCAAAGCGAGGCGCATTGGCCCGCTAGACCATGTTGCCCCTGATAACCTCCCTTTAATGAAGAAACAACTGTTGTTACGCATTTTGTTGGGATTTTTCATTTCGAAGCAGTTAAGAAGAACGTACCAAAATGAGTCTGTACGGCCATTGTTCTTTAACTATAATCAAATTATATTTTTCCCTCCTTCCTTTAGTTCTTATCTCTCAAAGAGAAACGATATAATACGACGCACTGAGGTGAGCATGTCCCTGGTACGTCTTTTACTCGTTACGCCTTTTATGGTTTCTCGTAACAACTTGACCACCCATACCATCATGGTTTGGGTGCATGGTCCTGCCAAGTGCTGTATCCTCAACAGGACCGCGAGCAAAAGAATAAAGGTATAGCGCCAGAAAGACCTCCAAAAGAGTGGTCTGACCCGCTATTTCAATACTTATCTTTGCTGCCGTTGTCGTTGTTGTCATCTCTTGTAGTCGCCATAGCAAGATAGGCCACCACCGGACAGCGTACCCTGACTGCGCAAAGCTACTACAAATGGCGAATGGCCTCCTTTTCTATTGCGGCCGGTCAGCGCTTGTATTGGTGTTATTTTCAGCTATCGGGGGAAGAACCAACAGCAGCAGATATACGCACTCGTCATGCGGTCAGGCGGCGATGGACACGATTTATTCTATTTTGGCGGAGAACGAGAATTGAGTACCAAGTCCTATTTAGCTTGTGCCAATATACACATGCTATAGGTAAGCGTTTAGAAGTCACGGCCTTCCTCTCAGTGACGTTCAGAGATGTGTGGTACGAAAATTTCTAGGTAGGAGCCCATTTTTTTGGTAAGAAGTCGATGAATGTTTACCCCATTACACGTTCGATAAATAATTAAACCTATATATATATATA